GTGCTTATATGGGCTCCTTATATCATTTGGTTCTTTGGTGTCCTTTTGGGGTGTCTAAGTGTCCTTTTTTGGAAAGACATCTAAATTTATCTTGAAAAAAGCTTGCAGAAAATACAGATTTTTGACAATCACCCTTCAATCTTTTGGTTTACTTTGTTGGATATAGCAAACGATGACAAAATAAACATTTGAAACAAGATAAATGGTCTATGCTTAATTTCATGAAGTGTGCGATTAATCGCGATTAATCACAGAAAAAGGGTGTGATTAATTAGATAAAAAATTTTAATCTATTGACAGCCCTAGTTTTAATATTTTATTAGCTAACCAAACGCAAAGCTTCCACAAAGAGAACATGTTCCTAGCAAGAGTATAGTGCTGACCCGGATGAGCCTGTGTTATTAGTTTTTACCGGTTGTTATCGAGGGATAACATACCTCGGAATGTCGCGACTGACCAATCAGAATCAAGTATTCCACAGAGACGTTCCACAGTGTAAAAATATGCATAATGGCACCACACAATAGAGGATTTTTTGGACAAAAAATACTCGAATTGGGCCACACCACCTCTAAAACATGTTAGCAAACCAGATGTTCACAATCATGAACATGCACAATGAATCACATGCAGAGACCATTTCTGATTGGCTAGTTTTCGGATAGCCTGAAAGGCGTGGGGTATTCCACAGAGCCGTTCCACAGTGTAAAAATATGCATAATGGCACCACACAATAGAGGATTTTTTTGGACAAAAAATACTCGAATTGGGCCACACCACCTCTAAAACATGTTAGCAAACCAGATGTTCACAATCATGAACATGCACAATGAATCACATGCAGAGACCATTTCTGATTGGCTAGTTTTCGGATAGCCTGAAAGGCGTGGGCCGCTCCCCTGACTTTTTTCTGCTGTTTACACAGTCACCGAGACAGGTATGACACATATTTCAGTGATATCTGTCAGGAAGTTGGGATGTCTCTCAATTTATGTGTGGTATTCCACAGCACCTTTAAGCAGAAGTCTCCATGTGCTAAGCATTTCATTGCTAACTAGGAGAAAGAGTTGAGTGTGATTTTTCTCCACACCACAACTCTTTCCATTTCTGTCGACGTTGCTTCACGCGCTCTGTGCACTTTATGGCATTTGCGAGTTTTTCGGCCTATTGTTGTGGTAATCCGTTCTGACCGTTTCCTGTTGCTGAGCCATGTTCTTCTCTCTTCCCTTCCCAAAGCAGTGGCAGCCCCACCACTCCTTCATCTAATCTACTGTAATTATAGCACTTCCCCTCGTGCCCCCACCCGCCCACGCTCTCACGCTCTGAAGCACACCGTTTGTGTTCGTGTGTCAGCGTAAACACACCACCTGCATCTTTCTTAATGTGTTTTTTTCCCTTTCTTCTCTTTTAATTGTGCTGTTATGTGTTAGCCTCAGACTGTGGCTCCTTCTCGTCTTTGTCCTAGCAAATGTGGGTGTGTTTTTATAGCCTGTATATGCGTGTACGTGCTTTTCTCTTCCTAATTAGTGTGTGTGTGTGTGTGTGTGTGTGTGTCCATTTTTTGTGTTTCTAAGTCATTCCTTGGTATCCATGTCAAAGCTTCAAAGGCCTTAAAATAGGTCTTTAATAGCAGAGAGTGTGTTTGGAGTGCTATTATGGTTATGAGCTATAAGCAGGGCAAGACGGTATTTATAGCAAAGCTGCTTTGTAAGGAGCTGTGGAGGAACATCAGAGGAAAGCAGCAGCCTTCAACTTGACTCGTTTCAGTTTCGCGGCTCGATTCCCTCAACCAGAGCTCACTGCCCTCTCATTCGGCCCAGCTGAGAACTCATGAGGGACAAAGACACACACACAGAGAGTTCACCTCTGTTCCCTTTATGTTGCTCACATCTGGATTCCATTCAAAGTGACATCTATTTTTAGTTTGTTCACTTTTCAGGCCGTACACTTAGATAGAGACTCCCTCTCCCCCCATTAGATATGCTCCTGTTGGCTTTGGTCGACTTGTTCTTTGTGTGTTCTTTGTTTCTGATCATCTTTTGTTTGCTTTTTTCATTAAATTCTGTTAACCATCCACAACCAAGTGAGAAAGTTTTGCAAGTTTATCATTGGCAGTCAGCCCCTGCTGGTAGATGCTGTAACTGCACCATCTGGCATTTTCTCCATTGACAGCCATTCAAAAGTATCCATGTATCTACTCTTTTTTTTTTTTTCTTCTTCTTCTTTTTTTTTTTAAAACCAACATATGAAATGCAATAGCATATGTTTTACTGGTGCTTCATTCTTTTCTGGAGGGATCCTACTTACATTTTCCATGTAATGAATAATATTTATTTATTATATGTGACCCTGGACCACAAAACCAGTCTTGAGTGTCAATTTTTCGATATTGAGATTTATACATCATCTTAAAGCGGAATAAATAAGCTTTCCATTGAAGTATGGTTTGTTAGAATAGGACCATATTTGGCCGAGATACAACTATTTGAATATCTGGAATCTGAGGGTGCAAAAAAAATCTAAATATTGAGAAAATCACCTTTAAAGTTGTCCAAATGAAGTTCTTAGCAATGCATATTACTAATCAAAAATAAAGTTTTGAGATATTTACGGTAGGAAATTTACAAAATATCTTCATGGAACATGATCTTTACTTAATATCCTAATGATTTTTGGCATATAAGAAAAATCTATAATTTTGACCCATACAATGTATTTTTGGCTATTGCTACAAATATACCCCAGCAACTTAAGACTGGTTTTGTGGTCCAGGGTCACATATGAATATAAGACTTGTATAATTTTAACATTGATTAATGTAATATTATAAATATACATTATATTGTTATGATGCCTACATATATTTTCCATGGGATGCACAATATTTATTGTAATTTTTTTTATAAATGTAATACTTAAGTCTTGTATAAATTTCTATAAATTTTTCAAAACACTAATAAACTAATTACATTGTTAAATGTAATATTATAGATATACATTATAAAGTTATATATATATATATATATATATATATATATATGTGTGTGTGTGTGCAATATCTCACGGTTCTAAACCAATCAGATTTGAGAACCAGAACGAACTGTTGTATAAATATATTATATACATTTACTTACATCTACTAACATTTTTCACAAGATGCACAATATTTATTGAATAAGTACTATAGATATAAGGCTTAATTCTTTGTAATTATTTTTAAAAACTAACTAAAATGATAACACTGTTAAAATATAGTTTTGTCTTGCTTTTGTCATTTTTGTTTTTTAATGTCAGTTTAGTTTTAACAAAATATTTTAACAAAATAATATACATTTTAATAGCTGCCATTTAACATTTTCAGCCATAACATGAAAATAATTATCAGCTTATCATATTAACCAGAATTTTGACATTGATTCGTCCCTAATTTTTCATGTCACAGCTGGATAGTCACCAGTAAAGGCTTTGGGACTATGTTTTTTCTCATGGTACCATCAGCCACCAGACCTCCGTGTAAAAACAGACAAAGAACCCCCTCAGTGGACAGTTTGCTCAGCATTGCCACTATCTGGTCAGGATCTGTAAGTGCATCCTGCCCCACTGTGTGTAATTGGCATCTTGGCTGAATAATAATTAGAAATGTCACTCTGTGCTCGGCTCAGCACAAAGCTCAATAAACTCGAAGCTCTATGACTGACTGAGAGGCATTTGAGTCATTATGCAGGTATTTAGAAGTGTGAGCTTGTTTGTGTCTGTGCGCTCTGTCACATCTCCCTGGCTGTTTGCAACCCAGCAGATGTTCTCCGTCCTCCCTGGGGGAAGTCTGTTTCCCCGCTCCTCTTGGATCATCCAGCCCTCTTATACGTTAACAAGCTGCTGCTCTCCAACTAATAACCACATGCTCTCCTGACTTCCATCCTGGCAGAATCTTCACCACCACTCACTGTGTCTCTCCAAGATGCCTTTTCTCCCCTCTTCTCTTGAAGCACTTGCTCATCATAACCTTCTCTCCTCTCTGCACCCATCTGCCTTGGTAGCGGTAAATCAGATCAGGCACAGTGTTCTCGTGTGTTCAGGGATGCATGGGATTCTGGTGTCCGCTCCTGGCTTCTTCACTGGCTTAAACCAAGATTGAAGATGTTGCCCTTTGTTTTAAGACTGCGACAGATAGCCAAAGATCATAGCCAACTTGCAACATGTGCCTGTTAGTAGTGACTAGTGGTGTGTATATATACACTACACTGTGTGTGTGTGTGTGTGTGTGTGTGATGTTAATGGATAGGAATATTAATGTATAAATTTATATTTGTATGCTATATCATGTAAATATAAATATATTTAAAATTATATACCTATATGTGATCATTGCTTATTTATTTATATGATTAAAATATATGAAATTATAATGATAATATATAACTAATTTCATGTTATATATGAAACTATACTTACAAAATATATGAATATATCGAAAAAAACATTTACATATAACATTAACAATGAACAGTTTTTAATCTAGGTTAAAATAAAACTATATTTATAAATATATGATGATTTCATTTATATCATTCATTGTTAATTCATGTTTGTTCATAATACATCATCTGATGCCAATTTATACAACTTGAAATGTTAAGACCACCACCAAACCTGCACTAACCAGCATAAACCACCCTGGATCATATGAATTCATATTGGCCCGAATTAATATTTTTTAACACATTGCCAACCAGATTAAAGGGGTCCTATTATGTTTTTTCACTTTTTCAACTTTAGTTAGTCTGTAATGTACTTTGTAAAAGAGCATAATAGGACCCCTTTAAGCAAAGGTTATGAGTATCCATGAAAATTCATGCTTGCCTACGTTGGCATTTTCAGCAGGAGCGTCGGTGAACATGATAAATGTGAGAGATTTTTTAAAACCCAAGAGTCATATTGGATCAGTGACATTTGAATCACATTTAATACCCCCAAAAAACACATTTCTTCTCTCTTTTCAGATGTACAAGACAGTATGGCGAGGTTTCGCGCTGTTGGGGTGTGGAACTACACCATGTTGACCCTGGCAGAGCATGAGAGGGTTTTGTACGTGGGCGCCAGAGAGCACATCTTCGCCCTGGATCCCAACGACATCAGCAGACAGCTTCGACCACAGGTATGTTTAGTGAAGAAAAACCCCCAATGCACCCGATAAATACTAATCCACAAGCCATCAAGCAAAAAGGGCATTAGCACTTTTTTATCATTCAAAAATATCAGCATTTAAAAATGACTCACTCTTTCAATGGCACAGCCATTTGTAGTAAATTGCCAGTTGCGGCAGTCAATAGCGAATGCACGTTTTACATGCAGAGTGCTATTTGCTTGTAAAAGTCATGTCTGTTTCTCTCTTAGATTGAGTGGTCTGCTCCTGTGGAAAAGAAAAGAGAGTGCGCAGCGAAGGGGAAGAATAACCAGGTACCGGCTGATGTTGCATCCTCTATGTTTTAACAGCTTTACTTTGTCTGGCCTCGCTGAAATGCATTTACTCTCCCTACCTCTCGCCTATTTTCTCTTTGTGTCTCTCTCTCTGTCATCGCCGTCTTTGCAGACTGAGTGCTTCAACTACATTCGTTTCCTGCAGAGCTACAACCACACACACCTGTACACATGTGGGACGTACGCCTTCCAGCCCAAATGCACCTATATTGTGAGTGTGCGCTCTTCTCTTTGACTCAGAAATCCATCTGAGCCACTTTATCAAATTAAGCGGGCTGTGATATGATGGAGGAACTGTGTAGTTGGAATTGTTAGGATTTTGAAATGTTTTTGAAAGAAGTCTCTTATGATTTAATGCTGAAAATTCAGTCAATTGAAATATTGTTGCAATTAAAACAAAAATTATATTTGAGTATATCTTAAAAAGTAATTTATTCCTATGATGGCTAACCTGAATTTTCAGCAGCCATTAATTACAGTTTTCAGTGTCACATGATCCTTCAGAAATTAAAATGCTGATTGGTGCTTAATTATTAATAATAGTTCTTAATATTTTTGTGAAAACAGTGAAACGTTTTTCAAGATTCTTTGATGAATAGGATGATCAAAAGAACAGCATTTATTTGAAATAGAAACCATTTGTAACATTATAATAATATTGTCTTTACTGTCACTTATAATCAATTTAATGCATCTTTGTTGAAGAAAAGTATTAATTTATATTTAAAATAACGTTTCAATGGTAGTGTGTCGCAATTTACACAAAAATATTAAGCAGCACAACTGCTTTGAACATTGATAATAATAAGTAATGTTTGTTGAGCAGCAAATCAGCAATTAGAATGATTTCTGAAGAATCATGTGACACTGAAGACTGGAGTAAGATGCTGAAAATTCCGCTTTGCATCATGGGAATACATTTTATTTTTAAATGTATTCAAATAGAAAACAGCTCTTTTAAATTGTAATAATATTTCTCAATATTACTGTTTTTACTGTATTTAAATTTTTTTTTTTTTTTTTTTTTTTT